TCTCTGCTACTTTTTGATTTGCCAGCAGCCTTCCTCTGCCTGGCCATACCTTCCACCTTTCCATCCTTGCTCATTCATCATTTCTCTCCCCATACGCTTCCAGTGAGGAGTTAGAGGCTGGGGTGGATCGGTACGACACCTTCTCAGCATTTTATCTACCTAGCTAGTTTGGTGACATTGTGTCATTTAACACCACTGAGAATGAAAATGGGGGCAGTTGCATTAGTGAGCGTTGATTTCTAATTGACAGATGCCAGCCGTGAGACTATACTTTTACCAGAGCTCTGTCTTCCTAGATATAGACATGAAAGATTATACACACAGCCACATATCCACTCTATGAGTACTTAGCAGTGTCACTTTCTGTTAGCTACACATCTAGATTGCTGTCATTTTTGCTTGTAAGTACACATTTGAATAACATAATGGAAGACAACCTGTCTACCTTTACATATCAGATCTGATATTCACAGCTGAGAAAACCTCACCTCTTAGGGTTTATTTTACATCAAGTATGATGAATGGCCTTGGGCACTCCAGCACAGGAGCTAAAACTCAAGAGAGTTTTAAGCTGAGGGATTTTGTTTTTTTCTCTCCTCTTTTTAGATGCATAACCACTTCATCACTGCTGTCAAACGAGTGCTTGGTATGATGGGGGAATTACAGGAAACAACCTAAAAGGCACTGTAATTTTGTCCCTTAGGGACTTTTGTCCAGATCTGCTGATTATATAGTATATTCACAGACTTCCTTTGGAAATTGGTGTATTTTTATATGCATGTTCTTTAGATGATTAAGGACAGTGTCTGGTAAATAAGGTTAGCTTTTTAATGAAATGTAGTTTGTGCATGAATCTTGGTATGAATACGGAAATGGGTGTGCCATAAGTTTTCACGTGATATTTCAAAACCTTGAAGTACATTGAATAAATTTTTTCAGTACAAATTACAAAATGAAAACACTGTTGTGTTTAAGACCTCTCAGCTAAAAAGGTTTAATGTCTTTAATAATCACAGTGCTTCTAGTGGGAGAAGACATGATAGTATATGAGGCAACTATTTCAATAAATAGGTCCCAAATCTCAATGGCTTACAATAAATATGTATTGTTCTTATGCACTGGCCTGGAAGTTGGCTAAGGTTCATTCAATCTGGCCTGGGTTTGACTGAGCTTGGCTCCAGGCTTGTAGAACTGTGCCTGGATCAGACATTCCAAGTCTCATTCCAAGCTCCCGAGGGCAGAAGCACAAGGCCAGGCATGAAAACACACTGTGTATCTCAAGGCCTTGGCCCAGAATTGGCACACTGTCACATTGCTTACATTCAGATGGCCAAAGCGAGTCACGTGGCAGGGGAAATATACCAGAAAAGGCTTTGGGTCCATGATCAGAATGCAGGGAGGGAGTGAAGCAGTGGGAACAATAATCCAGTGTACCCCTGCTAGACAGACTGATTGATTCCATTTTGGAAAGATGAGCTGTGGACACTGCCTCCTATTTTAAATGGCATATTACCTTTCCATTCTGTCTGCTTCTGTTGTTTTGATAATTGACAGCAAAACCTCAGACTGATGTTATAGATTAGCATCAGGAAGTGCAGCTCATCATGTGAATGGTTTTGAAAAGCACAGCCTTTCAAAGTGGTTCCAAGGTAAGTCACCCTACCTTTACTGTGACTGTGCTATACGTTGTATTAACCGTGGTCAGCTGTAAAAATAACCTGTGTGTTTGTGTGTGATCGATCAAAATGTTGAAATGTCTTTGAGAAACTAACTAATATCGAGTAAAAAACTGATTTGTAATATGTTCATGAAAGGGAAAGACACAAGTTTAAATTGATAAAACTGATTCAATTTTTCACAAAATATTCTCTAAATATCTGACACCCCCAAATCTATTTGTGTCAGAAGATTAAATGACAGTTGATTGTTTTGACACAATATATTTATCCAATTTCAGATAATTTTCTTCTCTTTTGATTAAATTTATTCAGCTGGAGAGACTAGTTTGGATACTATCCATTTTAATAAATACAGACATGTGCTTTATTTTTGACTAAAAATGTTGTGTTTGTGTTATTAAAACTCTCCATTCAAAAATTATTTTATAAATTCATTATAGTCTTCAGAATGTTGACTTTGTCCTATGTCCTAACCTACTTTGTCAGACTTTTGACAATAACGGTTTTATGTTACTTATTTCAATTTTATGTTACTTATGTTACTTATTTCAATTTTATGTTACTTATGGTCCTTTTCTGTCCAAAGGATTCTTACCAAAATTATTATGTATCGTGGTTTTACCTTGCATGTTTCCTTCATAGGGATATTGTCTGGTTAAACGTTAGGCCTTAGAAATTAACGCTTTAAAACTAAAACCATTTCCAGAAAGAAATAAATTTCATTGCTTCTGCTTAAACTTTACATTGTTTTTCCTCTGCATAGAGAGTGAATTTGATTGCATGCCTCACCTCATTAATGCAGTATTGAATAGCCACTGCAGGTGCGTGAGGGGTCTGCATGTGTGTTCGCATAAATATGCATGCATGTGTATGCATGTGTGTTTTATCAAGGCCCCCAAATCCTTGTTAATGTGGGAATTTTTCACTCTTTTGTACCTAAATGATTAACTTATACTCGCCAGACAATATGCCTCTGATGATACAGATGTCTTACCTCAGGCGTTGTACATTGTGTTTTGTGATATATATAATATATATTATGTTTCATATTGTTTTATTATTCTGTGCAAACTTTACCCAAAGCCAGCAGTTACTTCAAAAGAAAAATGAAAGGTGGAGGGATTTAAAATGAGGGATGTCATTAGTAACTAGTACATCTTGGAAGATGAGATAGTACAGTGAGAGTATACTGTAAATTTTAAAAGGTTTATATCAAAGGTGAATAGAAATAGTCTAGGAGGAGGATGAGCCATATAAATAGAAGTTAAAAGAGGTCTGAGCTTTAATTTCTTCACCTGTTAAAATATAATCAGTATTATCTTCCTCAGAGTCAACATGAGGATAAAGCAAAGGTGCTAAGCAGAGTGCCTTCTCCCTGAGGCTCTTTTAGGCGTTAGCTCATTCCTATGTCTTGAGACTAGGAGTGGGTCACTCCAAAGCACATGAGACTCTAAATGAAAGCCCAGAAGACTGTCTGTAGCCAGTAGGTAGTGAGGGGATTAACTGGGAAGGCATTTGTTCTAAGGCCTCTGGCCCAGATCAAGGAAGAGCCTGGGTATGCTCTTCTAGACAACTATGTCTGTGGAGGTGAGCATAGACTTGGGAAGCCCTGGACCCTCATTTTTCTCAGTGGCTGCAGAAAGGTGTTTTTGTGAACAGCCTGTTAGAGGGCAACTGTAGAAACACTGACCTGCATCATCTTTTACTTCGAAGTGTGATTGAAAACCAACAAACTGAGCAGGCAAACAATAGCCAAACCTTAGCTGTTTTCAAATTTTTTTTCTTCTAAAATGCTACTCTAATATAAAGGAGAAGCAGGCTATCCCGCAGTTCCTTTGTAAGCTGACTTACTCTCAGCTCATGTTTCATGTAAGTCAGGTTTCAGCATGGTAGAAGCCATTGGTTGGCTTTGGGTGACTGCCAAACAGACTCTTACAGGGATTATGTGTAATAAACACTCTATCATATATTCAACAGTGATCTCTATTGCAAAATACACTGAGCCTAAACCTTTAACTTTTCCCTAATTGCTTAATATTTTGCCAAGATTGCTTACCAGGAATTAAAAGAGGACTAGGAACTTGAGTGCTATATGAAACATTAGAAGTGATCTATCTGGTGTTTTCCAAACTATGTTCTAGTACACCATTAAGAGGCTTGTGACATGTTTAGCAGGTGTCCCTTTAAATAGATTCTGTAGTCAAACAAGTTTGGAAAATGCTATTGTACAGAACTAGGTTTTCTTTGCTAAAGGATGTCCAAGGTCTTTAATATGCTAGCACGAATCATGGCTCTCTAAGAGATGCATTCAGGTGGCCAAAGCAAGTCACGTGACAGGGGAAATATATCTAAGAGATACAGTGCATAGCTTTTCTCACACTTTACTGACCATAAAATCCTTTTGTTGTAGAACACTTATTGCCATCTTAAGAATAGGATGTCAGGCAGGGGCCAGAGTGTAGTCATTGAAAGCATGGCCCTCTATTGTTAAACTGCCTAGGTTCAAATCCTAGGCATTTTAGCTTAACCATTTGCTGATTTTATGATTTTGAGCAAATTGCCTAACTTCTTTGTACTTCCGTTTCTGATTTAAAACGAGAACACTAATGATACCTAACTATATGTTATCATAAAAATTGAAGAACAGAGCTAAGAACAGTGTCTGGCACATAGTTAATGATTATCACCCTATAATCGCTTGCCTGCCATTTAGGTAAGAATGAGCTAGACTTAATACCTTTGATTCTAGAGATGACAAAAGCAAATCTGAAATAGGTTTCTCATGCACTACTTACTAATTCAACAAACTGGCCAAGTCCAGTATGCACCATGGATAATTATTCTATTCCCAGAAATGAAGATGAACAAGACACAGTTCCTGCCCTGGAGAACACACACATTAGTGACTTGGCTCAGATCACACTGTTTAGGAATTACAGGAAAGCCAACAGGCCAGGCCTCCTGACTCCTGTCCCTTAGCTCCTCCTCTGATTCCATTCTGAGATAGAATGGCCCATGCAACCTCTAAGCAAGAATATGGACCATAGAGTACAGCCAATAGACTTATCTTTTCAAATTGAGGATGAAGGCCTATGTTGTAACTTTTTGTTAGAGTGATCCAGAAATTGTTGGGAGAAAAACTTTAGAAGGAAAGCAATCTCTTAAAAGTATAATTTAGTATATCTTAAAAGTATAATTTAGAAAGTAAAGTAAGAGATAGTATGAAAAAATCTACGTAGGAGTTCCCCAAGTATGGCTTTTATTTATTTATTTATTTACTTGGCTGCCATGTCACTGATGGCCTTCTCTATGTTTGTTTAGGTATCTCCTCTGAGAGCTTTCCCTGGGATGGCTTCAATGAGCAGACACTTAAAGACCTTCCCAACAGGGATGGAGGCACGTGGGTTCTGGGCTACAGAGCAGGACCAGCCTGTCCATTTTTGCTTCACGAGGAAAGGGAAAAGTCAAACAGAAGCGAATTGTACTTGGATCTCCATGTAAGTAGAAATCTTTGTGATTGTGCTGTGGTTCTTTGTAGTCAACAGAGGCTAATTTCATATGAATTTAATGTAAATTATGTATATAAAGCTGCATTTAATGTATGGATCAGTGTATGCGTCATTAATGATGCATACATTAATGTCATGTATGCTTCAGTATGGATAAAAACATCAGTGGGCTGCAGAAAATCAAGATGCATCTTGGTGATCCGAAATTCATACACTGGAAAGTAACTAGCAACTTGTCTAGAAGTGACTGTGTTTGTCATTTATCTGAGTCTTTTCAGAGCACTCTGTTCATTAGCATTGCGTCCTAAATCTCATTGTGGGAGTACCTAATGGTTGCGAGTCACTTCTTAATATCCTTTTACTAAAAATTTGTGAATAACATATGTAAGCCAACTGATATGCTCTAGATTCTCAAGTGAAATCCAAATTGCCTGCCTTCCTTGCATGTTCATGAACCTTTCTCTCCAGCTGCTCAAATAACGGGTGAATAGGTTGGCAGGAAATCTGCAGAATATAGGATGATGCATTAAAAAAAAAACCTTCTGCTTTCTTTTTTAAATAATTTTTGTTCACTTTTAATAACCTCTCCTGCAGTTCTTTTTGTAAATTTATTTTTATTTTTTTAATAGGTTTTTGGGGAACAAGTGGTGTTTGGTTACATGAATAAATTCTTTAGTGGTGATTACTGAGATTTTGGTGCACCACATCTAAGCAGTGTACACTGTACCCAATGTGTAGTCTTTTATCCTTCACTTCCCACGACCCTTTCCCCCAAGTCCCCAAAGTCCATTGTATCATTCTTATGCCTTTGCATCCTCATAGCTGAGCTCCCACTTATGAGTGAGAACATACAATGTTTGGTTTTCCATTCCTGAGTTACTTCACTTACAACGATAGTCTCCATTTTTATCCAAGTTGCTGCATGCCATTATTTCATTCCTGTTTATGGCCGATTAGTATTCTGTGGTATATATATATACCACATTTTCTTTATCCACTTATTGATTGATGGGCATTTGGGCTGGTTCCATATTTTTGCAATTGCAAATTGTACTGCTATAATCATGCATGTACAAGTATCTTTTTCGTATAATGACTTCTTTTCTTCTGGGTATATATACCTAGTAGTGGAATTGCTGGATCTAATGGTAGATCTACTTTTAGCTTTTAGTTCAAAAAAACATAGCCTTCTCCTTTTTTTTAAGATGGAGTCTTGCTCTGTTGCCCAGGCTGGAGTGCAGTGGCACAATCTTTGCTCATTGCAACCTCTGGCTCCTGGGTTCAAGTGATCCTCCCACCTCAGCCTCCTGAGTAGCTGGGCTTACAGGCATGCACAAACACACCCAACTAATTTTTGAATTTTTAGTAAAGATGGGATTTCACCATGTTGGCCAGGCTGGTCTTGAACTCCTGACCTCAAAGTTTTCCCTGCCTTGACCTCCCAAAAGTGCTAGGATTACAGGCATGAGCCACCACACCCAGCTGCCTTCTTTCTTATTCATTCCTGTTTTCATTGGCACAGAAGTGTTGACTCCCCTTAGAAAGCACTGGGCTGGGGTTCAGCTACTTCCACATTTAGATGGCTTGATAGGATTTACCAGATTATTGCGATATTCGGCAATACCTCTTTACCCATCCAGTTACCTGTCACAGATGAGGTGAGCACCAGAAACCTAAGAAGCACTTTTCCTTTTTTTAGCTATTAATTTTACTGCCTGTTGACAATCTTGCGTTCTCTCCAAGTCATTACTTTCAGATATGGAACCATGTGTTTGATGAGTGTGGGTTAAATCTGTGGTGTTCATATGGGTGGCAATCAAAGAGCAGGAGAACCTTGTACTTTTCATAACCGTAAAACCATGGTCACTGTATGTCATTTTGGAATAGCATTCAACATTCCAGGTATTACAAAGGGTGGTTTAGAATGAAGCTGAAAGATGAGAAATCTGCAACCCTGCAGCAGATGACATGGGAATTAGTTAAGTTTTTGGTTTTATTCCCCTACCTAAAGTGAAGTTGTGCTTCTTGAGAGAGGTGCTTAAAGTAGGAAGTGTAACAGTGACATCTGTTGGTGAGTTACTTTAAGTTGCATTTGCCACAGACAGCAGGCCTAGAGTGTAAAAGTGCTGAAATAGGTTTTGAAAAGCTACTTTTTCTTCTGTGTTTAAAAAAAGATACTATGTGTTTTTTTAAATTAGCTAAACAACGTATTTCTGGTTTTCCTTTTCCTCTGTAACAAATTAAGTGTTTTTTTACTTAATTTGTTGCAATTATAAAAATCCTCCACAATCCTTATAGAAAATTGAAATACATAGTTACAGTGAAAAAAAACTCATAATCTTAGCAATGACAACTGTTACAATTTGATAAAATTTCTTTGTTTTTTTCACTAAGTATGGTTTGTTTTTCAATGTGAGATTTTTTTAAAACATATAAGCATGCCAGATTTTATAACCTCCTCTCTTTTTTAACCAATTACTCTTACACTACTTATACAGATTGTTACAAGCACATTATAGATGTGTTTTAAGTGATTGAGTTATAGTCCCCAAAATGGTATGCCAAAATTTATTTACTCCATTCTCCATTATTGGATATTGAAGTTGTTTCCAGTTTTGGAATAGAACCACTATTTGGAAAGAAAATAGTATGACCACATGTGTAATTTTTCCTATACCCTTCCCCCCATTATTTAGGTCTATTTCTTTATAATAAAATTCTAGGAGGTGGATTATTTTCTATAAGTATTTTTAGGTTTTTTATATTTATCACTAGATGAAAAATATTTCCTGAACTAGCCTTTTATGGGTTTTATATATATTTATAAATTACATATATTATATATAATATGTAAATTATACATATGTATATATGTATAATTTTAATATATTTACAAATATATAATGTGTGATATAGAAGTATATATTTGTATATTTATATAAATATTGTGTAATTAAAAATAAATATATGTTTAGTTTTTTATTAATCTGAATTATAAAAACTAAAATAGTTTCTTTAGATTATTTTCTGGATCAACGGTTTTTATGCTTTGGGCCCTGTGTTTCCTTCCTCACCTCCAAGCACTTCTCCCCTCCATGGACAGTGTGATTCGACTCTTATATGTTTAAATATTGATATTCTAGGTAAGGTTTCTGTCTGAAAGGATTATACTTATTTAGAAAAAATGTGTATCGTGTAAAAGACTACACATTGGGTGCAATGTATACTGCCTGGGTGATCGGTGCAAATCTCAGAAATCACCACTAAAGAACTTGCTCATGTAACCAAACACTACCTGTTCCCCTAATAAGTTATGGAAATAAAAAAGTAGTTTAAAAAAAAAGAAGAAGAAGAAATGAGCCTCCTGTTAATGACTAGCAGCTCACAAAAACCCTTTTCCTCTGCTGGGCTTTGGACTCATAATCAGCCTTAGACATTGGACCAGCACTGCCATGCTTCTAGTTTTAAACCTGACTTTCAGTGTCACCATCAGAATGTTACTTTCCTGAGCCTTTTTTTTGTGGCTACACTGACTCATTAGTATGTGATTCCAGCTAAAATATTTCATAGTTGAAATAATTGGTGGGAGTTTGGCATCCATGTGTCAGGATGGACACTGGCATTAAGGTTGGGGCTGTTACTAAGTCTCATTTAGCTGGGCATTCACCTTTTAGTTACTAAACTATGAGAAGACTCAGGGGTTCCTTGGGGAATGGCAGGAGGTGGGATTGGTGTAGGACAAACACTAGGGAGACTCTGGGCAGCATTTATTTAACAAACTAAATGGGAAAAAAAAAAAA